CTTGCATTTGATATAGCGCTTTTCAAATCTTCTCAACGTCTCAAAGCGCTTCACAGAATATGCTGTAAAGTGAAGTGATCGTAAATTTGTGGGCGAACGTGGCAGCCAATTGCGCACAGTAGTGTCCCACAAACAGTCGTGGATTGAAAATGACCAATTTATTATTGTTTTTGGTTTTGGAGGGATTTATTATTAGGCTCTGTGTGGAGTAAGGAAACTTGCCCAAGATTTCGCCCTGCCTGGAACTGAACCCAGGTGTCTCGCTTGCAAGGCGAGCTCTCTAACTACTGAGCTACAGGACTCCACCTTGTACAGCACCCTTCACATCAGAAGGATGTCTCAAAGCACTTCACAGCATATACTGTTTATTTGGTGGTGGTGTGGGGGGGGGGGGGTGCAAATGCGACAGCCAATTTTGTGCAAAGCAATGTCTCACAAACAGCCATGGAATGAGCGACCAATTTTACCTGCCAGATTGTTGGCCAGAACACCAGGAGAAATTCTCTTTTCTTTTTGAATTGTGCCTTGGGATCTTTAACGTCCATGTGAAGAGGCAAGGCAGGACGTTGGTTTAAACCGCACCTGTGACAATGCAGCACATCCTCAGCGCTCAATAAGAGTATCAGCCTAGACCCAAGTCCTGATGTGAGGCTTGAAGTGACAAACTTCTGATTCAGAGGAGAGAGTGCTTCCAACTGAGCCAAGCAGCTAAACTGCACTTTCAATCTTTATAGCACTGGTATTCTATCTTTACAACATGGCAATCTCTCTTCGCAACATTGATAATCTCTATAGCACTCACTGATTTTATAGGACAATGTCACCTTCTGCATTCCTTTCCCAACTTGCAGTTCATGTTACACCTAATGGGCTGTTGTACTCCAATCCATATTCCTCAACCCACTGTTCAAACAAAGTAATCCAATGCAGTGCAAAGCCTTGTTGATTTGACTGAGAGGAAGGGCTGGAGTTAGAATGGCTTTGTGATTTGATTCCCAGCTGGCTTGTGTGTACAATGAGTTCAGTCCTCTCTCTTCCTCTCTCCCTCCCTCCCTCCCGGAAACAGCTCCTGTATTATTTGTGGTTCAGACTGGTAATTGGTGGTATCGGCTGAAGCCCATCTTGGCCACTATTATCTGCATGACATCATTAAGGAGAGGCAACCGTCAGCTGGGGATGGATTTTGATATTGGGTTATTATTACTATCCAGCACGTTGTGCAGAAGTCCTACTTATTATTAATAATAATAATCCTTGCATTTTGATATTGCACCATATCACATTATTGAGACGTCCCAAAGCTCTTCACAGAATATACTGTAAAGTGAATTGCGGACCCCAGAGTGTGTGTTGGGGTAACTGCTGGCGTTTAATCAGTTAATTTAGCATGCATTTGACATGGTACTTTGTCATGTCATCGAGATGTTTCAAAGTGCTTCACAGGCTTTTTTTTACTGTAAAGTGTAGTGACTGTGTATTTGTGGGCAGAGAATGTATATACAAGTCTTTTGTATATAAATGCGTGTATACACGTCTGATGTGTATGAATGCTCCTGTCACCAGTGAGAGAAGCTGGAGCCGCGTATAGCCGAGGGAGAGCCCTTGGCTCCAGATGTTCCTGTCAGAAGCTCAGACATTGCTTACTCGGGGACACCGGCAACATTGCCCACTGTCGGTAAAGGAGGAGGGAGTGGGCGCAAATGACGGACACGTTACCAATGGCACCAGATTGTCTTGCTGTTGCTACTGGTGAGGTAGGCTCTCCAGTTACTGAAGGTGAATATGAAGGTAAGATCAACAGAACGTGACACCAGTTTCAAACGAACCCACATTATTACATCTCTGCCAAGAAATGGGGGGCGGGGGGGGTGGGCGGCGGGGGAAGGGGACAGCAAAAATAGGGGAAGCTTCTCAGTGCGCATGGTTTCTTCTCAGAGAGAAATGGTGCACGACCCTCTGTATCTGTGAAAAAATAAAATCAGTGAATTCAGAGCATCATCACCATGGAAATGCTCATCCATTTCAGCAGAAACACTGCCCTTTTAAGTCAATCACAGCTCTTGCGATAATAGTCCTACAATAATCCTCGCGTTTGATAAACTGTAGTACCTTAGCATGTCGTTGAGATGTCTCAAAGTGCTTCAAATTATATACTTAAAGTGGTGTGACTTTTGTAGGTGAACTCAGCAGCCATTTTGCACACAGCAATGTCCCACAGACATCTACAGAGAAATTTTATTTGGGGAATTGTTCGCCATGACATGATGTGGGGGTTTCTCTGAGCTGAACAACCTACCTACAGGATGAGACCCTGACTGACTGTTTCCTAACCTCTCCTGTCGTGACCTGTGTCTTTACAGCGATGCATCTGCTCCAACTGAGATGGTATTGACGGTGAGATTTATTCTAGTTCTTGAAGCACTGGAATTAAAAATGCAAATTGTGTGACTTGACAAAACTTGCAGAATTGGAAATGATCAGCGGTGATAGGAGGACTACAGCGTAGCGGTTAGAACACTCGCCCCTCAAGTGAAAGGACCTGGGTTCGATTCCCGGGGAGGTCAAACTTCGGGCAAGTTTCCTTACAACAACAACTTACATTTATATAGTGCCCTTCACCTGGGGTAGAGTCCCGGAGCACTTACTCCACACGCCTCTGTGGATCGATTTTTTTAAAAGTAATAAATAATAATTTTGTCACTCATTACACGATTGTTTGTGGGACGCTGCTGTGCGCAATTGGCTGCCGTGTTTCTCCCACAAAATATACAGTCAATTCACTTTACAGTAATATTATGTAAAGCACTTTGAGACGTCTCGAAGACGCAATGAGACTTTATATCAAATGCAAGGATTATTATTATTATTATTGTCATTATTATTGGAGGGGATATTTTGGAAGGATGAGAACAAATGGGTTGCAGTGCCTTCTTCATCCGAACCTCTTATGATCTTGTGAACACACCAGACAAAGGTACTTTCCATTTACACTCATGTGGAAATGCTATTTTTGTGGTTGCAGGAAATATTAACAGGTAATTAAAGGGGCACATTCTCTAATCCTCGGTCTGAATCAATTGTGTCAGTGTCAGCGCTGAGAGCTCCATTGGGAAAAGAGAGAGAAAGAGAGGTGTGTGTGAGCAGGGTTACTTGACGGGTTTGGGTAATTACTGTGAAGAAAGGGCAGCGAGGTCACTTGCACTGTAAAGACAGACAGCGAATAGAATGACATTTCAATACCACAGATGAATCAGGCGGAAAAAAAATCTGAAAACCAGAGGTTTGGAGACTGGAAGTTACTGACAAATTTCCTCTTTATTGAGATCTACACACGAATATTCCATTATCTGTAAAAGAGACTGGCCCATGTTCAACAGACACCAGCAACACATGATAAATACGAGTAGAAATGCCTCTGCCTGATCGGCTTCCATTTTCTACAAGCTCATTCGCTAACTGTCAGCATTAAAATCAAGCTTTATTCAGAGTGAGACAGGTGGGGGAGGAGGGGGGGGAAAGGGGGTGCGTTTTTGCTTCAATCAAACTAAGAAATGACAAACAATTGATCATGAAAACCGTGACTTTAATGTAAACACTACATTCGAGGTGTTTGTGTCACTTAAACATCTCACAGGAGAAAACACCATTCACTAAAAGAAGAAATAGCAGCACAGACGTTCACTGAGAAAGAAAGGAAACCTAACTTATATATTACACAGTATCATAGCGAGTCATAGTCTAAACTGGGAACATCTTTTCCTGTACCTACTGGTCAGTGAGGGCTGTGCTTTTCTATACAAACCTGGAGGGCGAACAAGTTTAATTTTTCAATACAATTAGAACTAAGATTAAAGTCTAAACACCATTTCCTTGTTACTGTACATTTGCACTGCCTCAGGGACAGTTGCAATCCGTAGTGCGGTTGAAAAAAAAATCTCCAGGCCTAGTAATCGTTGATGCAATGTGGGCAGTTGGGTTAAGGAGTAAACAAAGCATTGCTGAACCGGTAAAAGTCCAAAAAACATTTAACATGGGAACTGAAAGAGAGTGTTGTGTACAACATCTCTACAAAAGTCTTCAATTTTATTTTTAAAAAACGGTGGGGGGGGGGGGGGGGGGGGGGGGGGGAAATAGCTACAAAGCACAAGAATTAGATTTTTTTAAAATGTAATTTATTTTTACGCTTCTACTTTAAAGAATTTGGCTAAAATCAGATCTACAGCAGTCTACTGAAACACACAGCCATCATTTGAGTTTTGGAGAAAGGTTGTGTTGACCGTGTAGGAAGGCTGTGTCTCACAAAGGCCAGAGATCATGCTATCTGTACATTAAGGGCACCAAGATAGTCCATTATACAGTCTGCAGGAAGAGAGGCCAAGAAGCCTCAGCATCCCTTTCCATCGCACAAAACACACAGAGAGACTCTTCATGCACACTTGGAGAGGATCGGGATGGGGGCATCAAAGAGAAACATGATCAGGTCGTCTACTTGCCTAAGCCATTTTCACAAGCTGACCAAAAAAAGGGTTTGAGGGGCAGGTTGGCACTGAATAAGGACAGTCAAAAAAAAAATACCGAAAAAAACCCACACATTTCTCTGGCAAAAATAGACCTTCAGCTTTTAGTAAACGGAAGCCCCTCTCTTCCCTCTGACGGAGTGAACAGTTCCAAGGCTGTACCTGTGCTCTACTCAGAGCCGTTCCATTCCACCGGTGAAGAGGGGGGGGTCAGTGCAGCTGATATGGTTGCTGTCCTGTGCGTCCTCAGGTTTTCCTAACAATATTAATCAAAGCTGCCGCGAACCACACTCTGAACTCTTAGCCCCACGCTCGCAAGTTTGAAGCGACACCAACGCCCTGCTCCAGGGGAGGTGCCACGGGTTAAAAATGGATGGAGATCTGAGATCACACCCATAAAAGGATTTTTTTTTTGTTGGTTTTTATTTTTTTTTGTTTTTTTTTGTGTGAATTTTTGTAAAATGTGTTTTTTCTTCTTCTTTCTCCCCCCCACCCCCCTCCCCCCCACTAAGCAGAAAATCCTGTGAAGGGTTAAACCGTGTACAAGTTTCGCGATAAGGCTACAGGCTTCAGGGCTCTAGTTCTGTCGGCAGCTGATGATAACAACTAAAAGGAATTATATACGTTATGCCTTTATTAACCATCTTGCATTCAATAATCATCACCGAACGTGCCGCTGTAAAGGAGAGTCAGTATAAACCACAACCTCGGAGATTGTTGGCGATGATGATATCGGTGACGGCGTCGAAGACCACTTGGATGTTGTTGGTGTCTGTAGCACAGGTCAAGTGGCAGTAGATCTCCTTATTGGGGGAACGGTTCTTACTCTCAAATTGTGCTTGAATGTAGGCGGCAGCGTCCTCGTAAGAGTTGGGACCTAAAGGTTGGGGACAAGGACATCACAAAACACAAGATTAAATAGAAAGAACGCTTCAACAACAACAACAACAACAACAACAAGATTCCATTTATAGAGCGCCTTTCACGTCAGGAGGACGTCCCAAGGCGCTGCACAGTTGGGTCATGACCCGAGCATTGGGGGAAATGGTCAGGGTGAGGGGAGGGAGGGAGAGAGGAGGGGGGAAATGGTCAGGGTGAGGGGAGGGAAGGGAGGGAGCGAGGAGGAGGAAGAGAGTCGAGAGGGGAGCTGAAGGCTCGGTCAAAGAGAAAGGTTTTGAGACCGGCCTTGAAGGAGGAAAGGGAGGAAGCAAGGCGAAGGCACTGGGGGATGGAGTTCCAGAGCCTCGGGGCTGAGAGGCTGAAGGCCCGACCACCGATAGTAGGGCGGTTGGGGCGGGGGACGTGGAGCAGACCGGAGCCAGAGGAACGGAGGGTACGGGCAGGTAGGTAGGGGGATAGTAGGTTGGAGAGGTAGGAGGGAGCAAGGCCGTGAATGGCCTTGTAGGTGAGGATGAGGATCTTGAAATCAATCCTCTGGGGGATGGGGAGCCAGTGGAGGCGAGCGAGGGTAGGAGTGATGTGGTCCCGAAGCCTGGTGCGGGACAGTACACGAGCTGCAGAGTTCTGAATGACCTGCAGCTTGTGGAGGGAGGTGCCGGGAAGGCCGGCGAGGAGAGAGTTCCCATAGTCCAGCCTTGAGGTGACAAAGGCGTGAACCAGGGTTTCAGCAGCGTGAGGGGTGAGGTAGTGCCGTAATCTGGCGATATTCCGGAGGTGATGGAAGGCGGTGCCAGTTGTGGTGCGGATGTGAGGGAGAAAGGACAGCTCAGGGTCAAACAAAACGCCGAGGTTCCTGACTGGCTTTGAGAGGTGGAGAGTGCAGCCTTGGATGCTGATGGTGTCAGCGCCTGAGGTGCGGAGGCGCTGACGTGAGCCAATCAGGAGGGCCTCGGTTTTTCGCACGTTGAGCTGAAGAAAGTTGTCTCTCGTCCAGGACTCGATGTCGGACAGGCAGGCTGTCAGGACATCGGTGGTCGTGGAGTTGAGAGTAGAGGAGGAAAGGTAGAGTTGGGTGTCATCCGCATACATGTGGAAGTTAACCCCATGTTTGCGGATGATGTCACCGAGGGGGAGCATATAGAGGGTGAAGAGGAGGGGACCGAGGACAGAGCCCTGAGGGACACCACATGAGACAGTACGGGGGGTGGAGGAGAAGCCATTCGTTGAGACGAAGTGAAGACGGTGGGAAAGGTAAGAGCTAAACCATTCAAGGACAGTGCCTTGAAGGTTGAGGTGGGAGGACAAGCGGTGGAGTAGGATAGCGTGGTCGACCGTATCGAATGCTGCCGATAGGTCGAGGAGGACGAGGAGACAGAGGGAGCCCTGGTCACAGATAGTCAGGATATCATTGGTGACCTTGACCAGGGCAGTTTCTGTGCTATGAGCAGCACGGAAACCTGACTGAAGGGGTTCAAAAAGAGAATGGGTGGAGAGGAAAGAGCGCAGTTGGGAGGCGACAACTCTTTCCAAGACCTTGGAGAGAAAGGGGAGGTTGGAGATGGGCCGGTAGCTTGATAGCTGCGACGCATCAAGGGAGGGTTTTTTCAGGGTGGGCGTGATGATGGCAGTTTTTAATGGAATGGGGACAGAGCCAGAGGAGAGGGACAGGTTTATGATGTCAGTGATGTGTGGGGCAAGAAAATGGAGCTGGGAGATAAGGAGTGGAGTGGGGATGGGGTCAAGGGAGCAGGTGGTTGGTTTTAGGGATAGGATGAGTTCAGTGACAGAGGGTGGGGAAACGGGTACGAAGGTGTGTAGGGGAGGATGGGTAGGAGTCGGAGTGTGGGAGGGAAGGGGTGGGTGGTGGGTGGAAGTTGGAGGGGAAGTGACCGCGGAGCGGATTCCCTTGATCTTGGATTCAAGGAAATCCAGCATCTCCTCGCAGTGAAGGTTGGAGGAGATGACCTGCGCGGGGTGGCGGGGGGGACGGAGGAGTCGGGATGTGGTGGAAAACAGTAGCCTGGGGTTGTTCTTCGCCTCCAGGATTATCCTGGAGTAGAAGGACGACTTGGCCGAGGCTAGAGTGGAGCGGTAAATTTTGAGGAGGTCCAGCCAGATTTGTCGGTGGACCGTTAAGCCGGATTTGACAAAGGTGCGCTCAGCAGCCCGCACCTGGCATTTCAGTGAGCGGAGGTGGGTGGTGTACCAGGGGGAGGAGCGGGAGTAGGAGACAGTGCGGGAAGTGATGGGGGCAAGAGTATCGAGTGTGGAGGAGAGGATATTGTGGAGGAGGGAGAGAGGAGAAGAGGGGTCGGTGAGGGTTGAAGGCCAGAGGGAGAGGAGTTCAGAGGACTCCAAGGCATCGGTTAGGGATTGTGGGGGTAACTTCTTCCAAGGGCGGTAGAAGATGGTGGTGGGTCTGGTGGAGGTGGGGAGGGGGGTGGAGGTGGTGAAGGAGATGAAGTAGTGGTCGGAGATGGCCTTGTCGGTAATAGTGACATCCGAGACACTGAGGCCCCGGGTGATCACCAAATCGAGTGGGTGGCCGTGACTGTGAGTGGGGGAGTTTATGTGTAGGGAAAGGTTGAGTGAGGAGAGCAGGGAAGAGAAGTCTGTGGAGATGGAGCAGGAGGGGGTGAAGTGTAGGTTAAAGTCGCCCAGGATGATGAGGCGATCAGAGGAGAGGCAAAGAGATGTGAGGAGTGTTGAAATGTCAGAGATGACATTTCAACACACCTATTGCCAATCAGGGTCTCTGGATGCCTCGCTTCTCGCTGCCGAGTCCGGTTTATACCCTGCGCTGTGCCACATTCTACATCTGGGCTTATATTAGGAACATAGGAATAGGAGTAGGCCATTCAGCCCCTTGAGCCTGTTCCGCCATTCTATTAGATCATGGCTTATCTATACCTCAACTCCAATTATTGAATCGGTGGGACCCAGTAGCATGGGCATAACCATTGGATTGAGTTTGTATTTGAAAACCTCCAGTTGCCTTTCATTAAAGACTTATGTGCAGAGAGACCACTCTTGATTTTCCAGAGTCATTTTACTTAAAAGCACAAAATGGAACAGGCAGTCCATAAAAACAAATCCTGTTTCTTCAGGAGAAAGCAGGTGCTGTAGATTTCACTGTAGATATAAGACCTGTAGCTCAGTGGTTAGAGCACTCGCCTTGCAAGTGAGACACCTGGGTTTAATTCCAGGCAGGGCGAAACCTTGGGCAAGTTTTCTTACGCCACACGCCTGATAATAATGCCTCCGAAACAAAACAATAATAAATTGGTAATTTTCAATCCACCAGTTTGTGGGACACTGCTGTGCGCAATTGGCTGCCGCCTTCGCTGACAAATATACGTCAATTCACTTTACAGTATATTCTGTGAAGAGCTTTGAGACGTCGAGAAGACGTGAAAAGCGCTATATCAAATGCAAGAATTTTATTATTTATTACAAGCCTGAAAGCAGTACCAATGGAGGGCTTGGTTAGTTACTACTTTTCTTTCCAGGCTCTCTTCCCTCCACATGAGTTCAAAATTCTCTCATTTTTTTTCAGGTCCAAAAGGTTTCAAAAGGTTTTCACTGACACCTTGAAAATACAATCTCTCTCAATCCCCAATTCAAGGTAAAAATGCACGCTGATTAGTTAGGTTCCTGTTGCCATCAGCATTGAATAACCGGCACATCGATTTAGATGGGAGTTTCTTAGTTTCTTCAACTTCTGATGTTTGGAAGAAACTTTCAACACCCAGCAACTGGATTTAATTCTTCACATCATAATTCTCCCTCCTCCCCTCCCCGTCCATCCCAATATTGCCAAGGTGTTGCACTGAACCGTGACACACTTCCAAACAAACCTCCAAAATAAATTGTCCACTGCACTGCTCTTAATTGCACCTTGATAAACAGGAACACTGTCCCTTTAAATCCTGCTGGCTCCTCTGTGTATAAAAGGCTTCAGCAATAAAGCTTCACATCTGTTTGCAATACACATCAGTACGCTTGAAAGAACCACGGCTGTGTTGGGAAGCAGAGCTGTCAATGACAACACGCTGTTGAGTGTTGTCCACAGAATTCATTTAAAATAGCAGACAATTCCAATTAATTCACTGCAATTTTTCCTGTCCATTTCCATTGATTCTTAACAATCTTTTTCATCAAATAACAACATTACTGACCAAAACTGCCTGGTAGGAGTTACTGAGCCTAACAGTGCTTGGGAGCTGGATTAACATCAGTAGAGATAAAGTCACTAACACTGTCTGACAGGAGTTACTGATTCCGACAGCATGAAGGAGCTGGATTAACATCAGTCGAGAGGGAGGCAGAAACACACAGCACTGGTTGAGGAGAGTTACTGAGCCAGTCAGTGCGATGGAGCTGGATTTACATCAGCAGGGAAGCAAATAGTTACACAAGGCACTGAGCCCGACAATGTGACTACTATATTATTTGGTAGGAATTACTGTGTTTAGCACAGAGTGAAGGAGATGCAATAATGCGCACGAAACACACTGGGTCAGAGTGTCACAATTTCAAAGAGATACAGAATCTTTCTCCCAGTTTTCCTGGTTTCTATTCCCTCATCAATCACAAATTGAAAGTAATTGCTCGCTCGTCTCATTCCTCTTTTGTGGGATGTTCCTGGTGCAAATTAACATCTGCATTTGTTTCCAAATGAATAGCATTCAATTCATTCTTCATTAGTTTTACTTTGTAAGAGGCATCAAGCAATTTCTTTCACATTAAAGGTGCAATTTAAATTTAAATGCTGCCGCTGATGTAAATTCATCTCTTATACTGATTCATTTTAAAGAGTACAACAACAATAACTTGCATTTACATATTGCCCTTCACATAGAATAAAGTCTCAGAAATGATGGGAATGGCTGCCAAGCAAGGGGAAGGATGAAGGGAGATGAACAGATAGGAGGGGGCAAGACAGAGAAGTAGAGGAAGGGAGTACTAGGGAGGAGC